CCACCGAGCTTGCCGGGGTCGGCTGGCCAGTCCGAGTCAAGGGCAAAACCTGTTATATATAATTAACATCTCCCCAACGCAAAAATACATCTTGACAACTCTACCAGAATACAACTGACCAGTTATACGGCACAGAATCAGAAAAATGTGAGTGAGATTGAAGGGAAATGTAGATCAGAAATTGGCATCAGAATGAGTACATTCTGTGTAGAATAGGCCAATTGAAACTCACTCTCATTTCATGATGTAGAACGTCATGAAATAATCCCCAAAGTGGATTGCGCCATGCAGATTTTATTTAATTCTTATTAAGGGTGAATGGTAATTTTTCTTAGAGGTTTCTGATGTTGCCCCTTGGCAGTAGGGATGTCTGTAAACTTTTCCCTTTAACATATAGAGCGTTTCGGTTTCTAGATAAGGGAGATCAAGTCAGTTCCCCTCAACCTTGTTGTTGTTTTGTTTTAATGGCGCTTTCAGCGCTCGGGCTGTTTACGCCAATAACTGTATGTTTATTCATACACTTTATTAATCAGCATCACATTACGGAGTTAGGAAGAAGGTCCGGTTTTAGAGGCAGGAGGAAACTGGAGTACCCGGAGAAAACCTGTGAGAGCGAGTATGGACTGGAAACCAAATGCACTTAAGGCCTGGGCCAAGCCTCATTGGTGCTAAGCGAGGAAAGAACCGCTACGCTAACCCGCTCCACGTCACTTTTTTTATGTAGTCACTGTCAAAGATTCTGCAGGGATAAAAATGTGAGGTCCTCCTGTCTTTTGAAAGGACAATTAAAAACTCAGAGGATTGTGTGTCTTCAGTAATTTCGGATGGCCGACATTCCGTATTTAAGTAATGTACATAATTAAACTCTGTTACCATGGTTGGCTTCAGGTTTGTTAAGTAGCTTTTATACCGCAGCATTGTATGATACTGGGGTAAATCAGGAAATGTGGCACCATTGGAAATGCGGAAAATTAAAATCTCGAGGTTTTGCATCTGCCTGGTGTACTGTAAATGTTTTCATTGATTGTATTCTCTTTTGCTTATAATTTGAGGGCCTAATGTTCTGGCTGGAGTTGATAAAATATGAAACTGTCATTTGCTTGTATCAAGGAGACTTGGGAAAATAAAGATGAAATTTTATTTAAGCGGTGGTGTTCACGAAGATTGATGTGCTTAAAGACCATCCATGTCCCCTGCCTCAACATTAGTTGATGTGCACCCATTTAGGTTTGCTTGTCTAACACGCCTTGGTGTTTACTTAGGGCTTTCGGTTAAACTTCGGAGTGGCTGCCGTCCCCAACCCCGCGCTTGCCAAAAAGTTGTCCGAAGCTTGCGAATAATGATTTCATCTCTGAGATGTATTCGAACTTCGAAGCTGTCCCAGCTTCAACAATTTTGCACTGTTGTATTGAATGGGTTGAACTCTTGTAGTCCCTGATCAGAAAGCGACGTCTCATGCTTATGCCAAAATGTGAAAGAACTGTTCAAGTAAAAGTGTATTCCCTTTCGGGATCATTGGTTTTGGACAACGATAACTGACCCTACTGGGTGCAGACCACTAATTCAAGTGAGAATTTCTTGCCAGCTCATTAGCATTAAAAGTGCCCGCACAGTATCTTTTGAAAAAGGAGATTGTTTGGCCCCCAAAATGGTGAGATTGTGTAAATTGTTGCAGGGATCAACTCCCTGGGTCTTTGAGCTTTCATATGAGAGCAGAAGGGCTAAAAACTACCGTTTAAAAATGGTCCCAAGTGCCCCAGAACGTTAAGGGTTACCACTTGAAAAATGGCTGCAATCAGACTTCGGAAAAATCACTTTTTGTGGGGTGATTTTGTTTTGTAGGAATAATTAAAAATGTAATTGGTTAACTCAC